ACCGTGTCGTCTCCGTGCTGCTCACAGTAGATGACGCGACACTGTCGTCTCCGTGCTGTAACACTACGCCGCTTGTCCCGGCTCTCACTTCTTCACTCAGGAAACCCGTTTGGGTGTCCCCCCGGGTCGGGACACCTGGCACCCGAACAGGGACGGGACAAGGCAGGCCCCTGCTTTGTTCCCGGGCATCCTGTACACATGCGAACTGCTGTCAAAGTGGGTCCAACTGGGGACCTTGTTTTGTCTTTGCTATAGGACTTTGTGTGTGTGTGTGCTCATCAGAGAGAGCGCGAGGGAAAGTGAAAAATCACTCCCTTGGGAGATGGTCACTTTACAGTCCCGTCTCCTCCAGTCTCCTCTCAGGATTTTTGGCGTGTATGTCAGGAGCCTGGCATGATTTTCTTTCCCTTTTTTTTTTTTTAAGGTTTTTGCCATAGGGAAGGTGTGTTCTCTGGAGAGTGAGAGGCAAAGTGAGAAATCACCCCCAGGGGGATGGCCACGCCCACCACAATCCCTTCTGCTCCATTCTCCTCTTGGGCCTGCCAGTGGCATGGTGGTTAGATGGCTGGATCCCTTGTGACTGACTGCATGGTTCAAGAACTGGACCCAGTGGCTTGAAAAACACACTGGGCATGTGTGTGTGCATGCCCAAAATCCTGAGGGGAAAACGGAGGAGAAGGGATTGCTGCGTGGCCATGCCCCCTGATGGGGAGGGTGCTTTCTCACTTTCTCTCCTCCTGTCTCCAGAGAGCACACATGCCCTTTAGGAAACTTAAGAGAAAAAAAAAGTGGGGCCAGCAGATGGCGCAGCGGATATGTTGCTGGACTCCCACATGGCCGACTATGGTTTGAGTCTTGGACCCAGTGGCTTGAAACTCAAGCTGGGCCATGAGTGTGCCCAGGATCCCGGGAGGAAAATGGAGAAGGGATTGCAGCATGGCCATGCCCCATTGGAGGCAATTTCTCATTTTCCCTCTTGCTGTCTCTGTCTCTCTCTGCAGCAAATGCATATGCCCTAAGGTGTAAATCTCTACCAAACAACAAGGACAAAAAAGACATAGAAGTTATTTGCAAAGTGCCTTTTGTCTTCAAAGTACAGCTTTTCATAAAAAGCAAGGTCTACCTTTAACAGATGCTCTGCACACAAGTGTGTGCTGGGGCAGGAGTACTGAGGCCCCCAGGCTGTGAGGCTGCTCAGAACTCATCTTCGGAGTCGTCCTGGGCCTGCCTGCAGACCTTCAAGGGCCTGGGGTTGGTCAGCTGTCCGGGGGATGCCGGCGCCAGGTTCACCCAGCCGGGCCCGCGGGGCAGCAGGTGGCTCTCGTTGAGTCTGAGGACACGGTAGTTCTCGTAGTGGACATTGTGGGTGATGTCCTTCAGGTCCTGAAGGTGGGAGCTGGGTGACAGCCACTGGGTCAGTTGGGCCACGTGTGCCTGGGGTCCTCCCAGTCACAGTCGCCTGTGGCCACCATCTCCTCACCGGATGAGCAGGTCTCTCAGGAGGGGGAACTCACAGTGCTCCATGTTCTCCACTGCAAGACATGGCCCAGGGCGCCTTGGCTCGCTCGCCTCCCCACCCCGCCCTGCCCCACCCTGCCCTGCCCTTAGTGAGGCTCGGCTCATAGGTGCGCCGGGCCTGCCCTGCGCCCGCGGCACCATCCCATCCACCTCCACCTTGCTGGTTCATTGCTCGTGTACCAGGGCCTGGCCCGGCAGCTCCTACTGAGTCCTTGAATCGAGTGTCCTGGTATGTCTATCCTACCAAGACAACGAGCGGAATTCTATTTTTGGTATTTGTAGCCATAAATCCGGCCTGGCCCCAGCTGCTCTTCCTCCTTCCCCGCCAGCCTCACCCCAGCACCCTTCCCCACATTCCCATCCTCTCCCTACCCCAGTTCCCTTCACTGTGCTCCTCCCACTTGGTCAGCGTTTGGAGACAGACCTTGTTGGTCCTGCTCTCGCTGGATCCCTCAGTTTCACACAGTGCCTGGCACATAGTAGGCCCACAGTAGATGCTGATGAGCCAGGGGAGCACTTCTGGGCGCTAGGCACCATGCCAAACGGTGGTTCTGCCTGCCCACCCACTCTGAGGTTCCGTTACTGTGTTCACTAAGAGGGAAACTGAGCCTGCCCCCAAGCTGGGAAGAGGGGTCTTTCCCAGGTCTCTGTCCTGACTGCGTTTGGCCAGTGGCGGGGGCTAGGATGCCCAGGGCACTAGACATGCCCTGAGGGCCCCCTCCTCCCGTGTCCTCCCACAGGCCCCGCACTGACCTTCGATGATGCCCCACTTGGTCTTCCGGCCCAGGACACACTTCCCGTTCACTAGGTGCTCTCGGTCAGCCCCGACCACAGCAAAGGGGATCCGGTCCTAGGGAGGAGAGGAGCTGGAAGGATCGGCCCCACTGGGGAGCTGGGGACAGAAGACACGAGGTCACTGTCCTTGGAAGGGAGGGAACATGGCAGAGGAAGCACACGACTTCTAGCAAGTCCAGAGACACAGAGTCTAATCCCTGCCTCTGATGCCTCGTCCCTAAAACGGGAACGCCGATGGTACTGACTCCAGGCCAGTGGAGATTTGCAGAGGGCTCGCCCGGCTAAGGGGTGGCCGAGTGACCCTCAGAAACTGTCATTATTCGTAGCCCACACCGATGACATCATCTTACTGACATCCAGAGCCTTCCCTGTGAAGCAGAAGTGGTGATCGCCATGAAGGTCCACTGAGGGTTCAAGCAGCTAACATCGCAGCCTCGGGCTCGTGCGCCATGACAGCCCCCTACGTCAGGTGTTACGGCACCCGGTGTGCCCCAAGGCTGCTCCGGAACAGCAGCACGGAGCTGGGTAACGGAGGGACACGTGGCCCATGAGCCTGAAATACTCACCGTCAGCCCCTTGACAAAGAAAGATGCGTTGAGCCAACCATAATTCTGGTGGTTTATTCACTCACGGCCCGGAGTGGGAATTCAGACTGTCAACTCCCAAGTGCAGTCTATGAGTGTGTCTCTAAGAGTCACCTCATGGCAGAGAACACCATGTCAACCACAATAACCGTCACTGCACGCTTACTGCCCATGCCGGGGTAAGCCCTCGGTGCATGCTGCCCGTCTGGACAGCATAATGAGACGTTCGCCGGAGGACCGTCTCCTCGGATGTTTCTAAGGTCGGCTCCAGCTGTGACCACCTCTGCCTGCCTCGGGACAGAGGGCAGAGGCTGGTG